CGCCCAACTCGCGCAGCTCCAAAATTGCGCCATGCGCCGCCCAACTCGCAGCCGAGGCCTGCGCGACGGAGACAATCGCGGGAGGGGAAAGGGTGTGTAAAAGCACCCCTTTCCCCAAGGACGGTGAGGAAAAATGGCGGCCGCGACACGGAGCGGCAGAGCGCAGGCCTCCCGCCGACGCTCCGTCGCCGATTATCCGGAGGGGAAGGAGAGAAAGCACCCTCCTTCCCAGTCTGCTCCAAGACCGATCTGGAGCAAAGCAGTGCACGTCTTGTCTTCTGGAAAGTCTTGACAAGACTGAGGTAAGGAGGCTGGCTCACGTGGTTAGCCAGCCCCCGCCCCTCTTCCAGGAGGTTCTAACGGAACCTCCCATTCTCTGCCTTCAGGGGGAGGGGGAAATCGCTCTCCCCACCAACTGTGTTGGTGTGGAGAGTCCCTTCCAGTCCAATTCAACAACCATAGACCTGATTCAGAGCATGTCCATAGTCAATTTTTCAAAAATTACAAGTGCTGTCGTTCCTGCTATCCAAAAGCCTGGTCCAAAAACCATGATTTAAGCTTCTTCCTAAAAGAAAGGAGGGATGGAGCTGACCTAATTTTGCTGGGGAGTGAGTTTCACAGCCGGGGGACCACCACCGAGAAGACCCTGTCCCTTATCCTCACCAACCGCTTTTGCGAAGCTGGTGGGACCGAGAGCAGGGCCTCGCCAGACAGGGCGGAGGGAGCAAACTTGTTTATTGCTTCCATGGAGATTAGGATAAGGAACAATGGCTTCAGACTACAAGAAAGGAGATTCCATCTGAACATGAGGAAGAACTTCCTGACTGTGAGAGCCGTTCAGCAGTGGAACTCTCTGCCCCGGAGTGTGGTAGAGGCACCTTCTTTGGAAGCTTTTAAACAGAGGCTGGATGGCCATCTGTCAGGGGTGATTTGAATGCAATATTCCTGCTTCTTGGCAGGGAGTTGGACTGGATGGCCCATGAGGTCTCTTCCAACTCTTTGATTCTATATGATCTTAAACTGCAAGGCAGGACATAGAGGGAAATACGTTCAGACAAGTAAGCTGGGCTTCAAACTACAGGAAAGGAAATTCCACCAAAACATTAGGAAAACTTCCTAACCCAGAGAGCTTTTCAGCAGTGAAGCTCTCTGCCCCCGGAGTGTGGTGGAATCTCCTTCTTTGAAGGCTTTTAAACAGAGGCTGGATGGTCATCTCTTGGGGGTGCTTTGAATGCTATTTTCCTGCTTCTTAGCAGCAGATTGGACTGAATGGCCCACAAGGTCTCTTCCAATTCTTTGATTCTAATGTCAATAATGTTGGTATATAATTGCTTTTTATCCTTGGAGTATACCACAAATAACAGGCAAATTCCACTTTGATGAAAATGTTTGGGTGAGCACAAAATGGTACTAACATTTAAAATGTATATCTGTGTGGCACCGTTTCTTGCTTTATATTTGTTCTGCAAAAATAGGAAAGATTTGCATGGAATTTGGACTGATCGTGCATGTGTTAAAATAATGCCTTGTTGAACAATATATCACACTGAAAAATAAGCCTTTTCTAACTCAAACCAGATTTGTTAGTACGTTTTTGCAATTGCGAATGTTACAAAAATTTAAAGCCCACATAAATTACTTTCAGCTTTACAGTATCACTGAAGCTGTAAATGTCATCTTTTCTAACTATTGCCTTAGGAGTCAATTATTCAAATGTGCAACATTTCTTTTAAAGTTCTTAGTGTCACACATTAATCAGAGGGCTTTGTTTCAGACATTATAGACATGAGTAAGACTCCCCCTAACCATAGCATCACTGGCCAAAATGTAATGTAATATTAGTTACTTGTGGGAAAAAATAAATACAGTCTGCTCTTTGGGTTCTTCCAAACAGGCACTATATCCAAGCATCTGATCCCAGGTTTTCTGCTTTAACCTGGATTATATTAGTCCACACTGCCAGATAATCTAGGATAAACAGAAAACTTGGGATCAGATCCTGGGATACAGGGCCTGTCTGGAAGGGTCCTATATCTATTGGATTCGAACCATGGAGTAAATCAATTACAGCTGAAAAATGTTGTTGTTGTTTATTTGTTCAGTCACTTCCAACTCTTAATGACCTCATGGACCAGCCCACGCCAAGCCATTGCCACCCCTAGCTCCTTCAAGATCAAGCCAGTCACTTCAAGGATAACATCCCTCTATCTTGCCCTTGGTCGTCCCCTCTTCCTTTTTCCTTCAATTTTCCCCAGCATCATTGTCTTCTCTAAGTTTTCCTGTCTCCTCATTATGTGGCCAAAGTACTTCATCTTTGCCTCTAATATCCTTCCCTCCAGTGAGCAGCCAGGCTTTATTTCCTGAAGTCTGGACTGGTTTGACCTTCTCACGGTCCAAGGCACACTCAGAATTTTCCTCCAATAATAATAATAATAATAAGAAGAAGAAGAAGAAGAAGGTTCATCGATGTCGCAATCACAGGTGAAAGGAGGATTGCAAAGAAACAACTGGAAAAGCTGACACGATATGAGGATTTAAAGATCGAACTGCAAAGACTCTGGCACAAGCCAGTAAAGGTGGTCCCAGTGGTGATTGGCACACTGGGTGCAGTATCTAAAGACCTTGGCTTGCACTTAAACACAATTGGTACTGACAAAATTACCATCTGCCAGCTGCAGAAGGCCACCTTACTGGGATCTGCATGCATTATTCGCGGATACATCACACAGTCTTAGACACTTGGGAAGTGTCCAACGTGTGATCCAATTCAACAGCCAGTAGAGTGTATGCTATGGACTCATCTTGTTGTGGTTCTAATAATAATAATAATAATAATAATAATAATAATAATAATAATAATAATCAACTTTATTTATACCCCACCACCATCTCCCCAAGAGGACTCGGGGTGGCTTACATGAGGCCATTGGGTTGGAGTTTTCCTTTGGACCTATAGGAAAAGGGTTAAGCCCAATGTCAGCTATAGTTCCAGTCCTCCCCAAGGTAGAAAACGATGCCAGTGGTTTATATAAGTCAATTATGTCTGTGATTTGCCTTCACACTAGGAGCTTCCTGTTTCATTCACTTGTTTCTAAAGTTCATATGCACGAATGCATCTGTATTTTATCATTAATTGAAAAGGGAATTTCAGATCCAGTGTTCTTATTTGATGGTGCGTAGTATTATCAATTATACTGCTGCTTGACTAAACATAATCAAATAGTTTTGACTTTAGTCAAAATAACTATCTGGCACAAGACCTAGATTCTCATTCCACTATTAAATGAGTGCCTAAAGCAAATTTAGTGCACTTTTGAACTGCAGAGTATGTGACGGGAATGTTTCGCACATGGGTTAGATTTGACTCTTTTAAAACTTCCTGTCTGTGGCTTAAATGGTATACTAAATATGGGTAAACAAAAACTTGCAATCACTATAAAAGCTAGACCTTGATTAGTATGATTGATCTATGTGAAGCTAGTGGTTGATGGGCTTAGTTCTCCCTTGTTTCCCTCTTGTTCTTGTCTGGTATTGCCCTGTAATCCATATAATGAACCACCTGCCCCTATTTTCCACCTGATTTTTTTTAATTCACTTTTTATAAAAAAAATTGTTTGTATTTGTCACATTCTTGGCACTCCAGAGACTGCTCATGCATCACCAGAAAACAAACCAAAGTGTATACAATTAGGGGATCAAGAAAGTCAAGATCACAATTCAGGTTAGAAAGGGAGTTGATAGGTTCACCTACACTGTTGAATTAATGTGGTTTGATACTATTTTAACTGCATGGCTCAATGCTATGGAATCCTAGGATTTGTAGTTTGGAACCCTTTTAACAGAGAAAGCTAAAGACCTCAGAATACAACTCGTAGGATTCCATAGCTTAGAGCCATCGCAGTTAAAATGGTATCAAACTGTATCAATTCCACAGTTAGATGCACTGACAATAGGGAAAAGTTAACCATAAGACATTGCTGTGGTACATTTATTAGGCCAGCCAAAAGGTACAAATATATCACAGTAGTTTTTGGAGCTTGTTATCTCCTTCATCTGGCAAAGATGTTAGCAATTATATAAAAGAAGAAGAAGAAGAAAAATGATGTTTAAGTCAGGGCCTGCATTTTGTTTGTAAAGTTAGATTTAGTTGGTTTTTAAGGTGATCTTGAGAGGGGCTTTATGCAGGTGAAGGCCACTCCCCTTTTTGCTGAAGTGATGAAATATAATTGCTTAAAAATATAAGTAATTAAATTGTGCCTAATTTTGCATTACCTATAGATGTGCCCACTAGCTAGCACAGAGGGTCCAATGGAGCCACAGTTAGACTTAGCCTGTCTACTTCTCTGAAAAAGCCCCATAAGCATGATGGGAGATAAATATCAGGAGAAGAGGAAGGAAAAGACTAAAACCTTGTATAGATAAGACACTGTGAAGGAGAATTTCCAGCATTACTGAGAGTAGGGAGGAGAGCAGCAAGGTAGCAAAAAAGAATTAGCTTGCTAGTATCAAATCCAGATGCTTATTGAGTTTTCAGTTGGGCTCCTTCTACATTGTCCTTATATCCCAGGATCTGATCCCAGGTTATCTGCTTTGAACTGGATTACATGAGTTTTCAGTGCCAGATAATCTGAGATCAGATTCTGGGTAATAGATCAGTGTAGAAGAGGCCTTGGATGCAGATCATTTCCTTACATTCTTAAACAACGTCCATCCACCCCACCATTTGGGAGTCGCTTCTTTCCCCCATTTTTCTGTTTTATTTCTGTTTAAGATATGTGTGTTTTAATTCAGTTTATTATGTTATTCTAGTTTGACGTTTGTTATTTTCTTATGTAATTATACCGTATATGTTGTCTTATATATTTAAAACGGTGTGCCAGTAGAAATACTTTTTAAAAAACTGATATAGTTTTCTTGAAGGTATTCATTAATAACTGACCTTTTACACATTGGGTATATAAGTTCAACTTTGATATATTCTGACCTTTTCCTTTTTTAAGGTTACTTTTTGACCTTTTTGGAACCCGTGAACAATATCACCATAGTCCAGGGCCAGACTGCAATTCTCCATTGTAAAGTGGCAGGGAATCCATCCCCCAACGTCAGATGGTTGAAAAATGATGCACCAGTGGTCCAAGAACCCAAAAGGATCATTATAAGGAAAACAGACTATGGCTCACGATTAAGAATCCAAAATCTGGACACCACTGACACTGGTTATTACCAATGTGTGGCCACGAATGGAATGAAGACAATAAATGCAACAGGAGTTCTGTTTGTACGGATGGGTGAGTCACTTTGTTTTAAGATGTGGCTTTTATAACTAGGTTTATTGCTTTATAGACTAGCTCCTACTTTTCACAATCACAAAATGAGAAATTAATTCACTGTGTTTTTTTTTCTTTTTAAGAAAATAAATTGCAGCATGAAAGAAAATCAATAAAGTCATTGCCTGAGGCTTCCTCTTCAACACAAAAACTTCTGGGTAGAACCTGATACCATTTACTAGTAATAAAAGAAAGTAGATACAGATGGAATGGTCTGTAAATATGAAGTTCAGAGAACAGCAGAAATGTGAAATAAGGTTTAGTCTAAGGTACAGAAAGGCAAACTTTCATTACTTCACATTTCACAGTGCTGCTTGAACACATTGTGTTCTTGCTGCTCTGAAGAATAAGTAGCAGCTCTCCATCTGGTATTGATAGTTTTGGCCCCAGTCTTTGAAAGATTGTATATGATGTCTGTGGCAACTTGCTAAAAGTCAAGGCACATATTTTTCCGTAACTTTTTTTTTTGACCAGGGAATGGTAGTGTAAGGCATATGCACCACATGCAGTCATTAAAAAACCCTTTGATGCACTTTCTTCAAAGAGGATGAGGAATTGTAACTCAAAGATAGGTCACTTTTTGCATGCAGAAGTTTTCATGTTCTGTCCCTGGCATCATTAGCTGAAAGGGTCAGATAGAAGGTGATAGAAAAGAACTGCTGCCAATCAAAATAAACAATATAATCTGAATCAATGCTACATCTTATGCTACATTTAGTGCAAAAATAAATATTCATTGTGATGACAAGGGAACAAAAGGATTGCAAAGAAGCATGTAAGAGAGTCTTCCATGAAGTGGATTGTATTCGTTGCGAATAGAGGAGCACATTCCTTACTTTCTGCCCATCCTGCATCCCTTAAATCCCCTCTGGAGGGCTCTCCAATTCTCAGGATTGGCAGGTGGCTGCAGGAGGAAATCTTGCCCCCAAGCAGTTTCCATTTTGCTGGTAGGTCAGCGATATTGGATATATCATTTTTAACTTTCGTCTCCAAAGATTTGCATTATGTAAATCTCAGCCAAGTGTAGATTAGCATTTTTCATGGTAAAGCTGTTCTGGTCTGGTTCATTCTATGATGATGAAGTTGGGCATCCATCCTTTAGAACAGAGTTTTCCAAACTTTCCATCTTGGTGACACACTTTTAGACATATATCATTTTATGATATAGTTATTCAGTTTTACAGGAAGTGATGCAGAATCAGCTTTTTTGACCCAATTATGCATACTGCACAGTACCTATCTGATCCCTCATCCAGGGTATTCATACAAGGATATGATGAGCACCTTACCATTTAGCACCTTTGCATCATATAAATGCATGAAAGTTGATGTTGCTTATTTTACATAAACTCAGAGGTCTCTCCTTATGACATATCTATATACTGCAGCCAACAAGCTAATATGTCATGACACACTGCTTGGAAAGCTCTGTTAAGAAGCACCATGGGTTGCATGCTTTGATCCAGAGTTCTAAATGTATGGAACACCTCAGCACAAGCTTTCTTTTGGGGATATAGAAGTGATTTATGTTTGCAAAATGAGATTGCGTACAGATTGGCTTTCCCCATTGAAGTGAAAGTTCTTGTGAAGGAACAGAAGTCCATGCATATACTCAGCCTGCAGCACTGTACATGTTCTTTTGCAGCATGCTGCTTTGTACTGTGTAAATGACTATTATCTGTCATTTACACAGCATAAAATGGGACTATCCCTGAAGGAAGCTTTGAATTCTCTGTATATCTTTTTACTATAATATTGAATGTATAAATAATTGAATCAACATCTTCTCTCACAGCCAAGGTCATGTGGCAGTAGGTGTTAATTTAACATTTCTGTTGGATTCTGTTTAATAGGGTTTAATAGGGTTTAGTAAGAGGATATTAGAAATAAAGGATGGCATCATGAATTAAAGAGTGAGAAATACTACTTCACAGTTTCAAAATATTATTTAGACATTAGTTTCAGCATATATGATTCTGATTTTTGCTTCTGAATATACTTATGATGTAGACACTTTTTTGAGTGAAATCGAGTTGTTAGTGCTTATTAGAACAACCCACTTAATCAATGGTATTGACTGACTTGGTTCAGTGGGCCTACTCTAGTTGAGACTAGCACTTTTATTTCACTTGTAGTTTGAAACTAAGCAAAACCAGATGTTTAAAATGTACTTACATTTTAAATTATATTTCCTATCTTTTATATCTGCTAATTATTTTGCTGTATATATTTACAGGCCCAACACACAGCCCGAACCACAATTTTCAGTAAGTATTATTTGATATGCATTTACTGGCTTCATGAGGATTTTGATGCAAATATTTTGGACAACAGGACAATTAAATACACCGAGTTCTTTTTATGCTTTCACTTGATTTTATCTATATTTAAGTATTCAAATGATTGAAGATCTTCTCAAAGAAAGAAAGCAATCATTGTATTTTTTTAGTTTTCACTTGAAATAATTATCTTATTTCTCCAATTTCAAGGCTGATATTTCTTCATTCATTGATATTTATTTATGTTCCCTCTTTCTCCTAGCACAGGATCCAAGATGGCTTTTTATGTTTAGAAAATTTATTTTAACTTGGATTATGTATTTGCTTCAAATGTAGTCATCTCAAAGCTAATTTCTAGGAAGCCTTTTCCTCAGACCTCTACTTGTATTTGTTGTTGTAATGTGCCTGTAAGCCAACTGAATTACGGTGATCCTATCACTTTTCTCAGAAAGGTATATTGAGATGAGGTTTGATATTACCTTCTTCTAAGGCTGACAGAGTGTGACTTCCTTTAAGTCAATCAGTGCAATTCAAATCCTCATCTCCCATAATAGTTCAAACACTGAAACCTTGCTGGCTACCTTCTCTTTCACAAACATACACATTGAGCTTTGTCTTCTACTTGTTGATCCTATTCAAAAGCTCTCTCGTTGCCTTGGAAGACTGACTTCTCAGTGCCCTGGGAGTGTCTGGAGCTGACTTGTCATGTCAGCCATTATACAAAATCAGCACCTTCTTAATGTGTCTCATTAGAAGCCACGGAAAAAGGAACATTTCTGTAGGGAGCAGTCATGTGGGACAGTCTTGGAAGACTTACAGCCTGAAGGTCCCCCATAGATTTTGGAAAACAAGGACATAGTACTGAACACATACTTTTGGATATATGATCTCATTTATGAGGATGCCCTGAGGGAGCACCAGCATATTTCAGTTGTGAGTGGGCAACTGAGGACCAGGAACCAGTTTCCCTTCATAGATTCTTCACATCACTGGAAGTGTGCTAAAATATCTCCCCCACCCCCTCCATTTCACCTCCAAAATGACAGTCAGAAAAAATGTTGTGAAAGGGATGTTGTCATGTTTTTCAGATTGTGTAAGATTTGAGTGCCATTTTCTGGGGAGAAATCAAGTTGAATAATTATTTTTGAAAAATTCTGGTTTAAGAGGAAAGTGCAAACTTGCATGGTTTAACAACACGTTTTGAAGAAAATCTTATATGAAGACCTATAATAGAGTTGAATTGTAAATCGGTCAACCTTTTTATGGAGGCTTTCCTATTGTTAATGTATCCAAGTTCTGCTCTGCACTGCCTTCTCTAGTTCTGGAAGAGAATTAGGTTTTGCAAGAAAATGATTTATTCTGTGGACAGAAGTGTGAGGAGGGTAAATATTATTTGTATTTGCTGACAAACCCAAGGAATAAAGAGACCAAACAACAAAAGTGAAATGAAAACTTAACTTTCTTCGCTACTTTATCAAGAAGAAAACCAAAAGCTGAACAAGAAAAATATAAGTAAGGAGGATACACCCCCCTCCCCACAAGATACTCTGAGCTGAACTGAGCACACAAAGTAATCACAAATAGTTGATTGAGTTTAGACTCTGGTTTCATTGTGTTTTGTTTTTGTTTATGGATTGATGTATTTAGGAAAGTGGCATTTCAAGTGAACCAGGGTCATTCCACAGTGGAAATCTTTATTCCTGATTTTACTTATATGTGAAAAATGCGGCTTCCTTAAAAGCATATGTAATTTTCTAAATGCAAGGTATATCACATGAAGTAGTCTATCTCTGCCTCTTGAAGCAATTAACATCAATTTAATAAAATTTGAAAATAGAGTTAATGGAAAGAACTCTTGGAAATTTCTCCCCTCCAATTTAATGTAGAAGAGTCTTGGGAAAACCACTAGACACTGGATTTTGCATCAGACAATGTGACTTTTAAATATAAAAAAGTATGTGAATGAATAGCAGGATTTTCACCATTTTCCACATTTTAAGGATATTTTGTCTTCAAAGAGCTTTTCCTTTAAAAAAAGAGTTTGTAATTCAATAAAGAGATGTCATTCCTTTGAATTGAAATTGATCCTTACTCTTTGTAAATATCACATATTCATATGCCTATGGCCAAACCAATATTTTAGAACCCATGCAGAAACAGATTCAGTGATAGATGTCATAATTATGGCACATCAAATAAACCACATTATTCCAATCTGGATTTAACCGTAGGAGAATCAACATGGTCTTGAAATCTTGTTTTAAATACAGTTTTCACTACAGAAAGGCAAGGGAACCCTCCACAGAAGATCTTGGGACAGTCACCCTACTGCAATCTCCAAGGGGAAAGAAATCTTTTGCCCTAAATGCTCTCTTGGGGCCATGGGGGCATTTTGGCTACATTTTTCATCACCTTGTTTCCATTTTAGATTCCAGGAAAAGACTTTTAGCAATAGGAAATGTCTTTGCAAGGACCATAGGGTTGCAGATGGATTAGAAAGCTGTTCTGCAGGAGGTTTTTTTTTTTTTGCAAGTTTTGTCTCAGCTAACAAGATTTAGTTGAAGTGAATAACAAGAACACCTTCATTTGTCTGCTGTATCTATAGAAGGGAGGAAGAAACACACATTGTTTACATTCCACAAATTACACAAACAGCTGTCATCCTCTGTTTTAAGTGGAAACAGCTTTTAAAGACTTTATAGCATTTTTAATGTTCCTAATGTGGATTAGGCTGATGTGTACCTTTCAACTGAAGACAATATGCCCATTATATTCATATGCCCTCTGGCACATTCATCTGACACTTTGTACCATAGATGTGTTAGGTGGTTAACATGCATCATGATTTGCCCATATCTATTCTGGCATGTAGTTCATTTGCTATACAAAGAAAGGCTTCTTTGTTGATCCAAGTATCTTTGAAAGCTTTGCCTAGGAACTGTTAGTATATTACATCTCACATTTCAGTAACTGATGAGTCTGATAGCAAAGAGAAAGTTACATCTTTCAAATATTGTTTCATTTGCTAAAAACTATAAATTTGAGGTCTAATTAATGGGAGAAGCAACTTTTCAACCCCGTTCAAAAAATAACATAGGCTTTTCTTACTTAGTCACTCATTCATAAAACAAGCATTGTTTTATGAATAAGTGATGAGGCAATACTGCTCTTGATGTGTGTTCAGGTGATATTTATGAATAGGGAGCAAGCTTGTTTTCTGCTTCCTTGGAGACTAGGACATGGAACAATGGATTCAAACTACAGGAAAGGAGACTCCACCTGAATATTAGAAAGAACTTCCTAACTGAGAGGTGTTCAGCAATGGAACTCTTTGCCCCAGAGTGGGGTGGAGGCTCTTTCTTTGGAGGTTTTTAATTAGCAGCTGGATGGCCATCAGTCTGGGGTGCTTTGAATGTGATTTTCCTGCTTCTTGGCAGGGGGTTGGACTGGATGGCTCAAGAGGTCTCTTCCAGCACTATGATTCTATGAAAACACTTGTGAATTGCAAATAAATACATCTGTATTGTTTAACATCAGCACCTTCTCTTCTGAAGATGTTAAAACGTACTCATTTCTTCATGCAAAAAATATCATTCTTCAAATATCACAGTTATAAAGATAGCTATATTTAAGTGAAACCACAATTTTTCTTCACATTTTATTGAAAAGCATTCATTTGGTGGTACTGTAGTCTTTGTTTTGTTCAGGACAGCTGATCACACTAAAAAGATTCTGACCTAAATCCAGATTTCAGTTCCAGCAATAAATTTCTGTCACTTCTATTAGTCTAATATAGTTGGGATTAACAAATGGAGTTAAGGCCAGATTTTTTATCCATATGGCATGGTAAAGAATTTTTGGAAATCAAAATAACAGACATTGGTGTAACTCAAGATATTGGAACCACACCAAGTTTTGGCTATGAAGACTTTACATTGAGCTTGTTTGTTCTTCCTTTTCTTTACACGCTCATTGTTCAAATTGGGCAATCCATAGTTAACATAGTTTTGTTACAAACAGGATTTGGACATCTGTGTCAAACCCTGAAGTGGTGGCATGGTGACAAATGTTAATGGAACTTAACATAAACTCCTGCTTGAAATAAAGCTAACACATGATAGCCAGGAATGTCCTCCTTCTACCTGTTAAGAAAGGAATTATCCTCCATGATGTCATAGTGATCACTCATGGTGGTATCATTCAGAATGGCACATAAAGTATTATTCAGAATTTTAACATGGAGAAACATGAAATCAAGAAGTTCTACTTGCATTCTAAAGTAGTTCTGAGTGATTTTTTTAAAAAATGGAGAGTTATGTGTATGCTATGAACAAAATGTCAAACTATGGTTTAATATACTGATAGATCTGAATGCCTATGGCTTCTTTTCGGGTATGATGTGTTAAGTCACTCAAAGAGACAACTTTGGGCAGACCTACATGAATACTTAATCGTAAAGGGGGTAGGGGGCAAATTAGTTCCATGGTGTTTACGTGACTTATGGAGCTGATTCAGGTTGATGCAGCCATGAACCATACTGAGAAAAGTCATGGGATACTCAAGAGTTTTTCCAAGACTCTTGAGCATCCATGTCCGAAAGTCAGGGAACAAACCCTGACTTTCAGACATGTATACAGCTGGGCCAGTTCCAATACAGAACTGGCTGCAACTATTACTATGACCATCCTATATTTCTCAGTTTAGGCCTCCCAAGGACACAGAATGGCACTCGCTGTCCCCTCCTGTTCTTGTCATAGTGGCTGGTGGCCGTTGCTTGCCACTGGAACACAAAGGCAGTCAGAGAAAGATGGTGGCCAATTTAAATAAATGGCATACATTTCTGTATTTTACAGCTAAAATTCTGTTGGGCTTGCCCAAATTTAGTTAGAAAAGCTGTTGTGCTTTCTCCTGAATGCATAAATGCAGTTTAGGGAGCAGACAATAATGTGATGAAAACCCATCTCTTTCACTTTTGAGTTGGTGAGTAAGGAGATAATGGAGTGGTCTGCAAGGGGTTTTCTATGCAACAGCTCTGACACATTTTTCCAACATATTTGAACTATATACTGTTGAACCTAAATCTGCTGGCTCTTATTTTGATTACTTATTATCAACATTCAACAAGAAAAATATTTCAAGGGGGAAAGACATCAGCAATATCCTTCATGATAATTCTTTGAATATTACTGTATTTCTTCAATCCTATGACACACATTTTGCCATATAATCCTGTCTGAAAATAGGGTCTGTCTTAAAATTGTAGGTCATATATATATGTGTGTGTGTGTGTGTATACACACACACACACACATATTCTGTTAATGGTAGCAAAAGTAGTATGTGTCTTACTATTGATGGCATCTTACAACAAAAGAAATATGGTATATTTGTTGGGAGCAGGTTTCCATTCTTAAATTAAACCTATATTTCTCAAGAGCAAAATCCTAAGTTTTGTGGATGGATAAAAATAAATAACAGGAGGAACATTTCATCATTACTGGGATAAAAGCAATTCCTACTCTATCTAATTAATTAGGCAACATTTAAATTGACCTTTAAATGTCAATCTATGCAAGTGCCAACATTGTCTCACTACTTCAAACTATATTTAGCTTTCCAATTTTCTTCATCAGATTAAGGGACAGAGTCCATTTCAAGTTGAAACTGAGTCAAATTTTAAAGCTCTGAAGCCATCGTGTTGATTTAACAAAGATAGTTTGTGCAGCAAGGATAAGAAGTCCTTCTTCCATTCAGCTCTGGTCTGCCACTGAGTCACTTTCATCAGGTTTATGAAAAGTATATGAAAGTTTTACTTGACTTCTGCAGCCTTTTGTGAAGTGAAGGCAAGGCTGTTGGTTTCTGCTGTATATTTGCATTTTTGTTCACTCAGTCATTCTTAATAATTTAGTTATTGCAAAATTTATTCAGTGACAGGCAAGGGAAAGAAGAAATGACTCTTCATAGATGGATTCAATGGAGGAGGAGGAGAAGGGGAAGATTAAGATTTCAAAAAGCTAAATTCAGAAATCCAGATGAAACTGTGGTATATCTCTTCCTCTGCCTAGCCTTCTTCAGTTCTTCAGACCATGGTTCTCTAATAAGATTTGGGTGAAGACAAATAGGACATGTGATTTAAGAGCAGGAAACTTCTAACTTCTTAAGCAGTTGCTGATTAAACTAGTTGGGGAGATGCAGTGATGTAGTTCTCAAAACATGTTTACAAGCTGTCTTGAGGTTTATTTACAGTTGCGTCATACATCTATAACGAAGCTGGTGACTCATACAACTTATCTTACCATGAACTCTGAATACCTCTTGGGTGAAACAAAGCTTTCCATTTTTTCCACATAATTGCTAAAAGTACGGCTCCATCAGCTGACACTTTTTTTCTTCCTTCTATAATGGATTCAATAGTTATACTCCAGTTGATAGGATTCAAAGCAGTGTTGCATTACATAGGCTTCTGAATAAAGCACCAGCCAAGCCAGAAAGGCTATAACAGTCCCATGTGCTCCTTTTGAACTTAGTTGACCTAACTCAAGGCACTAGCACTGCTCAGCCAAAAAGCAGCCTCCACTTCCAACTTGACAGGTGTACTGCATGAACCTGGCAATATGAGCCAGCTCCCAAAGGAATACAGCTCCCTTGAACTTAAGTTCAAGTTAAGAGTTCATCCATAGTGTTAGAACCATGAACCTTTTATAATCAGTACAACTCCATAGCAGCTCTGTGAAGTCATGTGCACTCAACTGATTTTTAAAAGTAGAGAATTCAACCCAGAATATAACTCAACCCATATCTGAAAATAAAATTGATGTTGCGTCAAATTTAAAGAAAGCATTAGGAGGAGGGAGAGGAAGTTAAACACTGATTTCATTCTGTTTATTTAAACCATAGTTCAGAATTATGGCATATTTTAATTAAATCTTGGCAAGAACTGCTTTGCTGTTCACTGCAGGAAATGAAGAATTGCGGAAGGATATGAAAGAAGAGAAACAACTGCTTGTCTAATTACATAGCATGTTATTTGAAACCAGCAATTTGTTACAAAGTGTAACATGACACATAGTCCTGTCTCAGTTGTACAAGTTTTTAATAGAATAACCTGTCATATCCCATTATCTTTAGTATAGGATTTCTAGCATAATTCTTGTTTCCACTTTGGAGAGCTTCTTCCATAACCAGAACTAAAATCTCCAATATAGTTTTTCTTATTTCCAAAACAATGCGTCTGTTGAAACGAAGAGATGAGTGCTGCATCTGGAGGAATTAGAAATGTCACATTTACTGTCTCTTTGCCCTGATTTCATTTAAAAAATAAATACAATAATTCTTTGAATTCATCAGGGGCAGGCAGACATCTGCAGATGTACTTATGAGGTTCCCATTTTTTAATATATATATTTTTTGCAGGGAAGATTACCATGAAGATGGGTTTTGCCAGCCTTACCGGGGAATTGCATGTGCTCGGATCATTGGAAACAGGACCATTTATGTGGATTCCCTCCAAATGCAAGGGGAAATTGAAAACCGAATTACTGGTAAGGCTGCATGCCTCTCTTCTTGTCAGGGATATTATATTTCATAAACTTGAAATTTGACTTCCACAGAATAGATGAGTTGAAATCAACCTAGGGATAACATATCAAAGTTTAGTATGTTTAGGGGAAAATTGTCCTCTCTCCTCCTTAGGTTCAAGAATGGATAGCTTAGTGAAATGAGACAGTCATTTATTTAATGGCATGCCAATCCAGATATCCAGTCTTATGGCTGAGCTATCTGACACCAAAGTAAAGATACATCTTTTCATTTTTTAATCGTTTTGAAACATTATTTAGTAGCAGTATGTGGCAACTTGCAGCAAATCACAGGGGCACATTGTGTGCTTCTGATTGTGTGTGTAAATATATTGTAGCCAATTATTAAATAACAGTTTTCACTTGCTTGGAAAATTATCAAGCAAGCATGAAGTGAAGATTATTCATGTTGAACTATTCCCTTTTGTTTCAACTGTTACTTTTATTAGTAGGAAACACCAGACACTTGATGGTAGTGTCAACATATTTTGGAAATGCCAAAGCTACTTTTCGTCAATACCCCTGAGAGTATTATGACAGTGTCTTTCCCTGTTTGAGGATACTTTTTCTTCACCTTGACTTTCTTTTGGTTTGCCTTACGCACAGCTTCTGACCTTTCATCACCACATGTAAGAATTGATTGAAACAGTGCTTTTTCCCATTAGGCAGTCATTTTTGCAGTAGTTACAGTGGAATTCCCAAGAATTAAAAATTTTATGGATGTGGAGTGTTGTATGGTTTCTGGGCTGTATGACCATGTTCTAGCAGCATTTTCTCTTAACGTTGTGCCTGCATCTGTAGCTGGCATCTTCAGAGGATCTGAAGATGTGTTGCAACATAGTAGATATTAGGGAAGGAATTCTCCCTTCACTTTAGTTCCTACTTCTAGGTCTTAGGAATATAATTATAAATTTCTTGCAGATTTATGTAACACATTACAAAATAAATTTGAAGAACCTTCAGTAACTTTTTCTGAGTAAGAATGTTTAATTGTATTTCCACGTTTTGAGTCATGGGCTGGGATTCCAGGTACATGGATAAGTAATGCTTCCCATTCTAACCCTCTCCTCCAATCTTAATTTATCAGGCAGCAGACTCATGTTTCCACCCTTGTTCTGCAAGCAATCTCTGGTGTGAAAGTTAGAAGAAAGATCCCAGTCATGATTTTCAGTGCATTGGAGATCACTCATGGGATGGTGGTGGAAATACCAGTCTACTGCACCCCAGTTGATAGGGAACAGATCCTTATTGCTTGCTATGTCTGCTGCCCCATAAATCAGAACTGGGGGAGACTAATTGGTGTGTTTGTGGGTGTGTGCCTGCCTGTGCCTGACAACATACGTCAACCCCATGAATTTTATAGGGGTTTCTTAGGCAAAGAAATCCTATGAAAATGCTATGTATCCTATGCCAGTTCCTTCTTTTGAGAAATGGTTTATAGTGCCTAGTATTCCTTGTCAGTCCGAGGTACGAACCAGAGCTGACCCTACTTAGCTTCCAAGATCAAATGAGATCTTATGCCTTTAGGGTATCTAGGTTAAACATGTTTTGAATATCCTAAACCCTGTGACAAAAACAGTCATGAGATTTAAGATAATTTCACATCCATACACACACTTCACAATCAGTAGCCTAAATCCTGTTGTTAACTCTAATTTAGAGCCTCTGAATCAGTGGGATTTACTTGCATGTTGAATCACCATTAAAAAATCTATTGAATGTGTTTACTCTAGTTGCAACTAACCAATCGGATGCCAGGCAATATCACTATATGCCATATGTTAATACACATACTCCACAGTTGTGTGTCCTAAGAAGTGAATAGGAAACAAAGAAGATACATTTCTTAAGCAAAAAAAAAAAAAAGGAGATAGAAATACCACCTTCCTGACTTGGAATCCTTAGCTAGAATTCGCTATTGCACTGAGGAATGATAATTTATAGTTCATGTGCTTCAAGTAACCTGACTTATAGAACCCCATGGATTTCATAGATTTTTGTTAGAGAAGGAATATACAGAAGTGGTTTTGTCAGTTCTTTCCTTTGAAATAAACTGTTCACCTGGTATTCATTGTTGGTCTCCCAGGGCTGACTGTGCCTAGCCTTACGATATTTTGGCCCTCTGTGACTTACAAAGGTCCCTACTACAATCAAAATATAGAGTTTGCTAATATTCATGATTTCAGGCATCCACGGAAGTGTCTTGGAACAATTCCCCCATGGATATTTGGGGAGGGGTCATACCATATAGCTATTAACTTATGTGGAAACATGCTTCTTAGGATCTTTTTGGCTAAATATGTATTATTCTGTTCTATTTGATTTGTTGTTGACCCACTCCTTTGGGCTTCGCACAAATCTATTTGCCAAAATATTCTATCTCGGCCATTTCTGGCCAAGGAGCTTAATCATTGCTTTGTCCCATCAAGGATGATGTCTGTCATATGGCTGCTTGTGGTCTCTTGGCATCCAGTTCATAAGGTGCCATGACCATCAGTTGTTTGCCGTCAATTGAAATCCCACCTTTAAATTTGATTTTTTGGAAGAGGTTTCCTAAAGTCGCCACAAATGGTTTTAGCGATTTTGTGTCTCCTTTGTTTATTCTGATGTAATATACTTCTGACAACAGTTTTATATCCATTGTGCTTTTTATGATGTATTTATGCTTTTTATGATGTTCACATATGCTGGATTTACACCGGCTTGGTGCAGAGCGTTAAGGATAGGATTGATCTTAACTTAGTTGAAGACCTTATGGTAATCAACAAAAGCAAGACAAACCTGAACTCGATATTTTCTGGGGTTTTTTTTCCAGTAGCTGTTTGACTGCATGGATAGAATCGAGGGCAGAGTAGCCGCGTCTGAAGCTGGCTTGCTCCCTGTTTATTTCCACTTCTTGAAATATTCTTTGTAGCAGGATCCTTGTGAACAGTTTATATAGTTGAGAGAGGAGTGTAATAAGACAATTGTTGCTAAGGTTTTCTGTGTCTCCTTTCTTCACTAGAAGTATGGTTTCAGACATTGTCCAATCTTTAGGTAAGGTGGGACTTTACAAGTATTGCGTAAAACACTCTGTTATTGCCTTTTGAAGGTTATAACCTCCCGCCTTTAAACTAAGACAGCAAAACTAAACTAGGAGAATTAGAACATTTATTTTTATTAGGTGAAAAAGTGTTTATAATTGCTTTGATTTAAACCCAAATCTAAGCTTGTGTCTACTGATTTGCACTTGCATTAAACAAGCACATAGCTATGGGAATGGAAAGTAGTGACATCTACTGTTTGTTCAAATTATGACATTACCATTCTTTAAAAAGTATAAAATAACCCTACCATGCCTTTTTTTAACACAAAAAAATAGATTAGAAATTTATGTCACACGATGTATTATCTTCCCTTCTTTAAGGCTATTTGATCATTGTACATAAATGTATAGTACAGAAAATCTCAGGGCCAAATTGCCCTCCAAAAACAGACCAGGAACTATATATCAAATTCGCTATTACAACAGAAGCTTAAATGGAAGCTTCTTTGTTGAAAACAAGACTGATCATGCACGCCTTGTTTTCATAGGTACTAGGACTTCTGGAAGCTTTCTGGGTGTACTTTTGAGCCCTGTGGATTTTATTTTAGGGAGTCTTTCTTTAAGAAGCAATGCTGAGATCTGGGCAACTGTCACAAAACTTCTGTACCATCAAGAGAACTAATGGACAAATTTACTTTCTGTGTTTAGGATATTTGTTCTTGGAATGAAGTACTTTGTGTATTGTTAATTGACAAATGTTAAATATTTCTACACTAATTACACCTATAAATACAGGTATATTTCATTTAGTGAAGTATAGAAGTCCCTTGATGTATCCTACACTTTGTTTTCAGAACCATGGATGCTCAAGTCCTATTACATACAATACCAAAGTAAAATGGCGTCCCTTACATAAAATGGTAAATTCAAGGTTTAGGTTTGGAAAGTGTGGGTGGGGTATACTTTTAAGCTATGGGTGGTTGATGGATTCTGTGGATACAGAATCCATGGATAAGGAGGTGACGAGTATAGTTGTATTCCTGTGCATAACATCTTTAGGAAAAGATGTGGTACCAGATTCAAAATAGCATGGAAAGAATAGGACGATATGACTATACCACAAAAAAGAAGAATTAAAAAAAATTCAACACCCTTTTATTTCATGCTAACATATGAAATGAATGCACTTAGCCTATGGTAGCTGGTGAGTCTGTTTTCCCATTCTCTCTTTGTTTTGCCATTCATGCATGCCTAGTAACTGAGGTATGCCTATATATCTGTCCAATCACTATACATAATAATTCCAAATTGCCTGAGTCATTTGGTGTTATACTTCCACATATAGGCAAATCTAAAAGGAAACATGAAATTTGAGAGAAGTGGTCCTTATTGAACAGCTACCTTCTGAATCCTTGAGACCACTTTTCTGTAATTTGTTACAGGGGTGAGTCCAAAAAGAAGTTGTGCATTGTGTAATTCCTAACTACAGAACAGCAAGCTGCATCTTCCACAAGAGCTGCATTGAACTTTGGCCCTAAGGTTTCCTTTCCCAGTTTGTAGCCTGTCTTAAGAAACTGAGAGGCCCATTAAAATCCTGATGAACATCTAAGAATATGTTCATCCTCAGGCACTTCTCATGTCAGCAAACTTCTGACTACTGCAATCACAATAGTTCAGTGGTACCCAGTAAGATGCTATCTCCCTTCCATTCCTCATAAATAAAGACTTGTCTGTCTTTATTTCAGCACTTCATTTATTCAGAAATTTTGACATTTTAATGGCAACTGCCAGAAAACATAAGTGCTTAAGAAAACATAACTGCTTATTTAGCAGCTGCCCAATGTCCACAGATTGTTTCAGAACAAATTTACTTCCGTTTCACCAGCCTGAAGCTATTATCTTCTTCACAGAAAATAACCTATTAATCCTGATTCATTTTCAGACCTGCACACACTTGCCTGCAGATGGGTAAATGTCAACTAAGCAATACACAGATACATCCAGAAGCAATTCTTCAAATTTGTAGCAACTGGAAGAATTATAGTTACAATTGCAGAAACTGCATGCTGGCTGTGTGCATGTGCTTATTGTCAGCCTTACATGTGTGATCATATAAAGAAATATGTAGGGCCAAGGTGGGCTTAGGCTGCCGGTGTGTAGGCAATGTTTTATTGCCAGATAATTATTTGTATTGATCTCCCACACCTGAAACAAGTGAATTTGCTCCATTGTTGCTAAGGAGGTAAATTCTTCCAACAGCTTGTCCCAGCATAAAAGCCCTGTGATCTTTTGTGCCTCATTCTAACGATTTCTTTTGTGGTAGGTCCAATATCTTCACTTATCTCAGCCTTGTTCTTATCTGCATTCTTCTTAAGGGTAGCTTACTCAAGGATTCTTTGCCATTGATTAAAGGGGGTTTGGTCATTCATTATACTTAAGTAGATTACTGAGGTCATCAGCAAACATCAGTGTGCTCATATTTTCCCCTTTGTGAACAGAAATCAGCATAAGTCTGATGCAGTCCAACCTTAACTGCAAACATGTTATATGCTCCCATTTGGAAATCTTGAGAATTGTTCATTCTTGTTTGAGTAGTGCATATGTTAAAGCTTTTCCTATCCAAAATCACATTAAAAGTAGTTTTGGGAGGATACCAGTTTTTGGACCTCTCCTATATACCGTATATTCAGGCGTATAAGACTACAATTTAACACAAGAAAATCTTCTCAAAAGTCAGGGGTCGTCTTATACGCAGGAGTAGTCTTATACGCGGAAGTCATCTTATATGCTGGAGTAGCCTTATGCATGGGAGTCATCTTATATGACAGGAGTCATCTTATAGAGAGGGTGCTGAAACTTCCAATCCGGATTGGAGAATCTGTGGTTGCTGCATATTGTGGGGGGAGTTCAAAAATGGCAGTGGCCGCATCCCTGCGTATGCAGTGACTGTATGAAAGCATTAAGGGCGGCGCTGTACAAGTATGGTAGAAAAAAATCCATTCATCAGAATTTGTGGACTTAATGTGATCCTGATGGTGAGGTGAAGGGGCACCTCACTGGATAGGTGTAATTGAAAGGCGGAGCAAGCTGCAGGCTTCTGGGGCACCCAGGGTATTGAAAAAAGAGGTCGAGTGACTCTGGGCCCAGAAAAACACAACTCTTTTACCTGTCTGGCCCGCCCTTGTATCCTATTACCGTACCTCCTCCTCTGCCTCTCAGATCTCGCTCCTGAAGACTGCAGTGAAGTGATGCAGGTGCGCAGGTGTGAGATCTGAGAGGCAGAGAAGGAGGTACAGTAATAGGAAAATTACCATATTGAAATCAAATCTGATGCTTTTAAAAATTTCATTTGGTGTGTGTTGGAAGCGGGGTAGTCTGATATGGCGAGTATATCCCAAACTCTGTATTTTAACTGGAAAAGTTGGGGGTCGTCTTATACACCCAGTCATCTTATATGCCAGAATAGTAACTTGAAACCATTAAAACAAAACTATTCAATGCTCATAAGGAATACTGTCCTCAGAATCCAAGACTCTCCAGCACCAGGACTTTATTCAATTCCAAATACAAAAGTGGAGGTACTTTAGTATATCCAGGCATGGGGTGTCAAAACCCTAAATAGAGCCCCAGACTCCTAGAACAAGTCCTTTTTCTTCAGAACCACCAAGTATGGTTGAAACTGAAGTCTGATTTTCAGACGTCATAAATGAGGACAAAGGTGAAATTAGTCCCATAGTGCCTATAACTGTACTGAGGTGCTAGTGCCTAAAGCAGACTGTTAAATCAGACCCTTCTGTCCCCACAGTAGTTTTCTAGTGCTCTCCAGTGTAGTTTAAAATAGCTGTTAAAACAGAGAAATTGTTTAAAATTACTGAGAAAATAAGTGAGCCACAGTACTCTACAGCAACATCATGATTTAGTAATATTTCAAGGTTTTTTTTTTTGACAGACTCAGTCTACAATCCAGTTGTTTATTCTGGGACTTTATGGAGATATACTCATCTTTCACAAATACCTTGTTATGTATCCTACCATCTGGCCTCATTGCAATCACTATTCTGATGTAGACTTTGTTTCAGTTTCTGAAACTTCTAGGAATGAAAGCCACTCACAATGCAGAGGCACTGGAAACATAACTTATTTCCCTTTTTACCAGAGTACAAGAAAGACCATTCTGCCAAGGTAGACAGAATGGTGGGTTATATTCTATCCTGCCAGCACATCCCCCTCCAACCTTCCTCAGTTCTCATAACAAAGATCAGCTGGCCTTATCAGCTCAGTCTTTTGCTCTTTCCCCTCCTTTTGGCATTCCATGTCAGGTTGACCAATTCGGCCTTTTTCACATGGCTGGAGTTGGCATCCTGACACTTTGGTGGTTATACTGAAGGCTTCAACTATATAGATTTGATGGCAATGGTTCTGTATATTTAAATCCTCATTTCCTCCACTTATATAGAAAGCATGTTTGAAGGTAGAGCAGAGGGAGCCAAATGTAAGGAGCAAGAGAAGTAGGCTAAAATCCTTATTGGTTTTGTTCCTTGCAAACATTCTGCCTAAAAGGCAAAGGTCTCGTTTATATCAGCTGCTTCATCGGGAGCATCAGATCTATTGGATGTGTTCCTATGAGAGATGGTGGTGGGGTACAAATAAAAGGTGATGATGATGATGATGATGATGATGATGATGATGATGATGATGATGATTGCAATGACAGCTACACATCCTGGTCCAAATCCTCTGCAGCACTGCGTTGTTATCCACACAGCTCAGCTGAGCAGAGACTACATTGTTTCCATTGGACCACGCGCTTGTCATCCGGTCAGCAAGGAACAGTTGGAACAACCTCCTCCATCAGTTTACAAAAATGTCTTATTATGACTTCAGCTGTGTGTGTGTGTGTGGACAAGAGATGCAAAATCTAAAAGAATGTCTTTGCAACAGTGTGTAATATTTGAGTTGGAGTGTTTTTTAATTGCGTGTACTTGCATGAATGAAAACTCTTGTTCTTCTTAAAGTCTCATAGCCAATTTCAAACCCATAGCATGCTAAGTATGCAATGAAAGCAGTTTCTCATACTCTTAATTTATTAATCCAAATGAATATTACTAGAATATACTGTTCCAATGTCCTGAGCTGTTATGTGGGAGGAGACACCGTGCATCAATAAGGTAGAAGGAATGGTTTATTGGGCCCTGTGTATCATTGCTGTTCCAAGATTCCTGGCTTCTTACAATTTGACAGATCATGTACATTTGCAGATTTCTAACAAGCTCAGTGCAATATTCCTATATTTGGGATCTAATTCATGATTTAAAGCTTTGGTATATATTAGATTTCCCAGAAAGTGTCAATATGTAATCAACAGAGGAAATTTATAAAAGAGCAGCGATAACAGACATCTTAGTGTGAACAGTGTAAGTGAGCTTAGAAATACTAGCCTCTCCTTATCCCATATTCCTGTCAAATTTGCCTTATTCACATTTCCAGTCAGCATTTTCTTATTAATTATGCTTTTCAATAAGTTATTATCTGCTGAGAAAATCCATATTATGTTTTGTCCAATCCAGCTGTCATTAAAAAAAAAAAATCCAAACTAGACTGTTCTAGGCTAGTCCTTTCAAGAACTGGGATTCAGATGTGAAACATATAGTGTAATACTATAGAACAGCACATCCTTGATTATGTTCATTGTACCTGTGGGGAAACATTTGGGATAATACTGCCAAAAGAGATGGTGTGATGGAGGTTTCCTCTTGGTTGAATACATTCCCCACAGTAGAAAACATGAGTGTTTGGTCTCAAAGGATTAATGTTGAAGATTTATTGCTGGTTGGGGACCATTTTTCTAAAGCTGCTGGATCTGCAGAGTACAATGTTTGTTGTACTGGCCAGGAATAACAACAACATTCCTGTGTAGTATCATTTTTTTTCTATTCAGTGAAATCTATGTGAAACATCACTGTTGAAAATCTTTCAAATGTATGAGGTCAGTGATACTGTTCTGTTTCGCATCACTGTTGTTGTACGAACTAAGTCTTAATTTATCTTAGCTAAGCCTTCCTTTCTTGTTTTTCAGCTGCATTTACTATGATTGGCACCTCCACCCATTTATCGGATCAGTGTTCCCAATTTGCCATCCCATCTTTCTGCCACTTTGTGTTCCCCCTGTGTGATGAACGGTCTCGGACGCCTAAGCCCAGGGAGTTATGCCGGGATGAGTGCGAAGTGCTGGAGAATGACCTCTGTAGGCAGGAGTACAGCATCGCTAGATCTAATCCACTCATTCTGATGCAGCTCCAGCCACCTAAGTGTGAGGACTTGCCACTGCCAGAGACCTTGGAGGCTGCCAACTGTATAAGAATTGGAATACCTGTAGAGCGACTCAACAGATGTAAGTTAACATCCTTGTATTTTCAGTTTACATTCCCACACACTGTATTTTCTTTGATAGATTTGTGTGTTTCCTGTGGCGCTTTCAGTTGTATAATACCTTATTCAGACCTCTCTCCTTCCCTCTTTCCTTCTTTCCTGTAATTTATATCCACCCTTGTTCTGATATGAGATCTATTTCGATTTCAAACCAGCATCATCCACTGCCTGCTCCACTGTGCTCCCCAGAGCAAAAAAAGAAAAGAAAAGAAAAGAAAAAAAGGGGGAGTTACTCTACATAGTCTTAAATCAGGATTGGGGAAGCTGTTCATGGGATGCATGTTGTCTCTTGCTCACTTTTTTCAGCCTCCCTTCCTCCCTCCCTCCCTCCCTCCCTCCCTCCCCCCCCTCTCTTTTTAACAAAAAATAGCACTTCTAAAAGTTGAGTTCTGTTTTGAACTAAGAACCATAACCACAACGTACCTATTTTAATTTGAAGATTAATTTCCAGCTTTTTCCCAAACTGGAAATTAATTTCCAACCACTATCAGTTTTAGTGAGTGGTTGAATCTAGGATCATAGAAAACTGTGCCATGGATTCCACTCATTTAATTGCTGCACTTCAGTCAAAACTACAGTTTTGTGTCTAATATTAAATTGGAATAAATTATTGCATATGGAATTTACTGAAGTGGATACAGGCCACAATTGAATCACTATTTATGCAAATAAATAATAATTTATGTGTTAATCGGTAAGGCAACAGTCAGCAACTTCAACAAGTCTGAGAGACTTAATCACACGCTATACCCAGTGCAAAAATGTGTCTTTGTCACATTTTTCCAAAACCAGATGTCACCAGAAGGAAATATCTGTGGGATTTTTGGGAAAAAAAACCCCAGAAAATACAGACATATACACTTCAAGTCACGTCTTGTGTTTTGTCTTAGAGGGCAATGGCTTCTCCTGGAGGCATCCAGTCACATCAGTTCTCTTTTTTCAAACTATGGTGATGTTTAAATAATGATGAAATTTTGGACCACGATGAAATAGGGGATTTGATGGGATCTGGGACTGCAAAAGGGTCTGCATGTTATAGGCTATACATTGACCACCTTTGCTTAGGGTTTTTTTTTTGAGGGGGGGTGTGAGAAAATGCCTCTGGACTATATTTTTATATTCAGAGGGTTTGGCCCTCTGGTATTCCCTTGTAAATGAATTCATTTTTTGCTTTGGAAATCTAAGTGACATTAAAAATGTGCTTTGATAGCAACTAGAAAATAATCTGAAAAAGGAATAAATGGCAGATTTCAATATGCAAGTCTTCCTTCCCTGATAAAAAACAGGCCAAGATTTGATACATTTGTCTTCCAAATTTCTCAATTTCTCTCAAAAATATGGTGTGTTCTAGAACCAGCAACAGGAAAGGCTCTGGACTAACAGATTTGTTTTCTCCTGTGCAGTAATACATGTCAAAATCCTTAATGTCCAAATACAATACTTTCACTGATTTTGTAAAACAAATCAGTGAGCTGACACATCACTTTTACCCATTCCTGGCTGTAAATCTTTTCTGAGAAATCAGAATAGTTTGAAAAGTATATGTGCGAAAACATTTAGGCTGCATTGGGATTTTTCTGTTTGTCAGTTGCTTGGAATTTACCTGGAAAGGGGAGTGTTCCATAGCAGTGAGAAACAAGAAACAGCAGATGTCAAATCTCTTCTGGCCAACTTTTGCTGTCTGATGTAAAGGTTTCTGCAAAAAGAATGCATATTCTGCCTCAAGTATATCTGAACAACTGCCAGCTCTCCCTGGTAGGAAAGCTGTCCTTGCACATACTGCTTTCAGTTTCATTGTTTTCAGTAATACACAATGCCCTGGCTTAATCTTTACACTCTTGCAAAGTACCTGAGGTGTAAGGAATCCAAAGTTGTGTAAACCAACTGGGAAAATGATAAGTTGGCAAAGCCTGGGAAGAAAGCTTCTCCAGTCCCATAATTGTGCAGCAGAAGTGACAAGCACTTCATGCAATTGGTATGACATATAATAGGGTATGCAATGTTACTTTGGGAGGTTTAGAGAACCGAAGCAAAACTACCTGTCCAAACATATCTCCCTTTATGGGCCAACTAAAGCTTTAAGATCTGCTGAGGAGACCCTGCTCTTGGTCCCACCCCCTCAGCCAGTGTGACTGGCTGAGACGAGAGACAGGGCCTTCTCAGTGGTGGCCCCTTGGCTGTGGAACTCCCTCCCCAGTGACATTAGACTGGCCCCATCCCTCCAGGCATTCAGGGAGTAGGGTGATACAGAATTCAATCTCAATCTGGATAATGACTATGGGAAAACCAAGAAGTATGGAAATCATGACTCAGCATTTGTATGTTTTTAATCTATTTTATTTTATTTATATGTTTTAACTGTTTCATAATTTAAGATGATATGCTTATTATTATGTGCACAATGCGGCATTGAATTTTTGCCATAGATGGTAAGCCACACTGAGTCCCCCTTGGGGGGAGAAGGCAGGGTATAAATATAGTAAGTAAGTAAGTAAGCAAATAAATAAATAAATAAATAAAGAGTATCTACAATCAAAGAACAGCTCTTGGAAGATCAGAGGTTGCCAGGGAAAGGACAAAAGGAAAGTGGGATAATTTAAAAAAAATGGAAAGTATGAACTAAAGAGGAAAATTTCCAATGGTTTTAACCATTTTGTTTTGTGTTTGTTTTGAAGCTTAATCCTGATTGCAGGCAACCTTATTAAGAATTATAATACACCTTCAAGGATTTTTCCCAAAATGTTAGCAGATAAATTATTTTGTGCAGCAAAACATGTGGGTCTTTGCTTGGGAGCGGGGGGATCTTTCTGTGAAGAAAACACACATCTTTCTGTGCAAATACTTTTTCTCCAGCAAATGTTTGAATAATGTGGGAACACTCTTAAGGAATATTTGCTTTTACCTGCAGCAGGTAAAAAACTACTGCAATTATTTAGCCTTGCCCGTAAGGCAAAGTGGTCAACATGATACATCACTGTTGTCATGAAGAATGTGGGGGAAAGTGATGGAGTCATCAGGTTGTTTCCAGCAGCAGTATCTTTATCAATTCCCCATCTTGTGTTCCAGACTGGAACTCAAGGGACCTTACAAGTGATTGCATTGTAGTTAAAACATATAAAAGTTCAGCATTAAAATTGAATGAATCTATTAGCAATATTAAAATAATTTAAAACAGACACTTTAAAATGATAAAAGTAGATTAAAAGTAGATTAGAAACAAGGCAGTCTATGGGGTAAATTTGTTGTAAATGGTTTAAAAAACAAAGAAGGAAGGTTACCGCCACAAGAAGAAATGAGATTTTGGACAGATGATATGTAAAAGTTGTGGCTTAAAATGGGGGGGAGGGGAGCACAGTGGTGGGGGGAAGGGGGAAAAATGCTTAAGCAGAAGAAAAAGATTATATGTTAAAGAGGGTGTTGAATAATATGTAACTGCTATAAACAAATGTATAATAAATGTAATAATTATGATAAAGTAATAAAAAATATTAAAACAAAACAAAACAAGGCAGTTAAACACAAGACAGGGCCTTCTTAAAAGCCCTCCCCATATAAACTTTTAATAGCCTGTCCAAAAAAAAAAAATATTTGCCTGTGAACAGAAAGACCACAAGAACAGGGCCATTCTAGTCTCCCTAGGGATGGAGTTCCAGAGTTCTTGATCACATTTGTCTATGTAGACAGAATTGTTGTAAGTTTGAGGGAGCTGATGGGGTTTTGCCTATTTAGACAGTATTGTTTGTAAATATGGGGAAGCTGAAAGGAGCTGAGTGTATTAGCTGTGTTTCTTTCTATGCCCATTCTTGGCATCCACCGTAGTTATCTAGTGAGTATTCTGTTCTGTTTGTGGAGGTTCTTCCACATGAGGACATCTGGAGTGCCCAGGTGGCCTCTGTAAAAAGATGACTTTTTCCTGCTGCAGAAAGTACACTGTGTTCAGAAGGTGAACCATAACAAATGTTAAGCTAGCATGCTCATACCTCTCCTCACATGTATAGATGACACAGCTTAATAACACTTTTTATGTGTAAGGAGCGACTTGAGAAACTGCAAGTTGCTTCTGGTGTGAGAGAATTGGCAGTCTGCAAGGATGTTGCCTAGGGGATCCCAGGATGTTATTATGGTTTAACATCCTTGTGGGAGGCTTCTCTCATGTCACCGCATGGAGAGCTGGAGCTGACAGAGGGAGCTCATCCATGCTTTCCCCAAATTCGAACCTCCAACCTGTCAGTCTTCAGTCTTGCTGGTACAAGGGTTTAGCCCAATACGCCACTGGCAGCTCTTAATAACACGTAGATAAGTCTATTTATTCTAACATAATCTGTTTTATTTCCATGAGGCTTACACATTCCTCCAGTCAATAGGAAAGTCATACATCCTCTGCTAAACTAGTTGACTCCTGCAATTTAAGTTTCCTTCATATTTTTCAGTTTTGAATTGAGCAATTTATCTTGCATGCAACTAAAATGAACACCTACAAACCAGGTATTAAATCACGTTTAAAGGGATGAGTTTGCTAAAAATGTTTGATACACATGGTACTGATTTGCTTCGTCTTGCAGATTTGCTTTTGTCAGACTAGCTTTGGTCATTCCTAAAATAGATTTACTGGGAACTGTGAAGTATTTTTCAAGGAGAAAGGGGAGTACTGCTTCCTCCAGTTAATCTTGGATCTTTTGTAAAATTACTTCTTGCAGACCACCAATGTTACAACGGCTCTGGAGTCGATTATCGAGGAACTGTCAGTGTCACCAAGTCAGGCCACAATTGTCAATATTGGGACTCTCAACATCCTCATTTCCATGACTTGACAAGCACAGTGTTTCCAGAGCTTGGAGGGGGGCATGCATACTGTCGCAACCCTGGAAACCAAATGGAAGGTCCCTGGTGTTTTACTCAAAACAAAAACGTACGCATGGAACTGTGTGAAGTTCCTTCTTGTAGTATGTATTATCTTTTTTCCTGCTTTTAGAGTGTTTGTAATAAAACATCTGTAAACTAAATCATTATTAAGAGCCTTTTTGTTATATTTAGGTAAGAGAAGATAATCCAAAATATTGTATATTTGTTCATTGACTTGTCAATATAATTTAAGGTCCCGAAAACTAGTCTACTGGTTTGATTTCTGTCCTTTTATCACCAATGGTGTCTAGTTCAAGTGAGCTGCGGGTTGGAGGTGAGGAACCCCCATCTCTTCCTTGGACCTATGGCCACCCTTATCTTTTTGTTTGAAGAAATGGAGGCTAAGCACTGGAGAATGGATATTAATTTGCCGTGTGAGACTAAAAGTTTGTCTAATGAAGGCTTTCATGACCGGAATTACTGGGTTGTTGTAGGTTTTTTTGGACTGTATGGCCATGCTCTAGAAGCATTATCTCCTGACGTTTTGCCTTCATCTATGGCAGGCATCCTCCGAAGTCTGACCTCACAAGCTCTGAGGATGCCTGCCATAGATGCAGATGAAATGTCAGGAGGGAATGCTTCTAGAACATGGCCATACAGCCCGAAAAACCTACAACAACCTTGCCTAATGGCCTTTCTCAAGTGAAGGCAAAAACTATTGAGCTTCTCAAGTGCAACGTCACAGCTCATCCATACACGGAAGCATTTCAGCTGGCCCTTCATCTAGAAAAGCAAAGTCTGTCTTCTGATGCCAAAACAGAGTCTGAGTTATAAAGAAGGATTGCAAAACCTTTCTGAGGAAAGGAGACACATTTTAGAACTCTGCTCAGAAATTACATGACACAGACGCCTCTTGTGCTTTGTTTATTTATACATCTTAGGGATGAATATGCTCTGGCATTTTGTCTTCTAACTGTACTGTGTGTATTGGTTGGTTGGTTTCTGTATTTTTTTTAATTATTGCTTGACGCCCTGAATCTATCTTGAAGCCCATGGTGCATCTAAACTGAAAAAAATAAGTGCTGGATAAAAAGTTATAGATATGCTTCTGTCTTTGAGAAAAAAGACTCAAGTCACTAGGGAAATTTCAGACCTAGTCCATGCGGACACTAAACCTGTAATGTAATGTGCACCTTCATTTAGTGCTGCAGGAATGAGCTTGATTGAGCTCTGAGATAAGGCATGTACATCTTTGCATTTCCTCCAGCGCAGCTGCAAGTTTAGAGTCATTCCCTTCTATTGTAAACTTACGGGTTTTTTTTAATTGTTATATATAACAAAGACAAGGGCCAGTGTGATGTCATGGATTTGATACAGGACTATGACTCTGGAAACCAGGCTTTGAATCCCCATTTAGCCATGAAACTCATTTGATGGCCTTAGCAAAGTCACACTCTCTCAGCTTCAAAAGAAGGCAATGGCAACATCTTGTAAACAAATCTTGCCAAATAAATGCTCTGATAGGTTTATTTTAGTATCACCATAAATTGGAAATGACATGAAAACATGCAACAATATCAAGGCCAAAGAGTAGTTAGTATAAGTAATGGTTTATGGGGAAAGATAGTTCCATTACTCTTAGGGCTCTTCCACACAGCCATAAAACCCAGAATATCAAGGCAGAAAATCCCACAATATCTTCTTTGGACTGGGTTATCTGAGTCCACACTGCCATATATTCCAGTTCAATGCAGAACATTTGAGATTTTATTCAGCTGTGTGGAAGGGGCTTACATCTCCTCCTTGTGGCTTGTATTTATTAATATTGGAATTAATTCTGCTTTGTTCTTAGTTCTACTGGTTTTGACGTATCTTTTATTTTTGCCCTACTGTTTTAACCTGATTTTACTGTGAGCTGTTTGAATTGATTTTACACCAGAATATAACTATTTAATGCAACTAAACATGATTTAGACCAGGCACGGCACTGTTCAGCAAAGACACATGTGAACAGATTACTCAGTCCCTCCTTCTTTTCTTTAAGTCAGAACTCAAAAAAGACATCTTACATTTTCCCCTATCTAAATAAGAGGGACTCAATATCATAGATAAAATACCTCATACTTTAATTTCTCACCTTTGTGATTTAGGATAGCAGATGTGTTTTGGATTTACAAGATCAATGTGATTTACAAGATCAATGTGAATGCAAGATAAAATAATAGAGATGTGCTATTTGTGTTCATTTATCATATAAGCACATTAATGCTGGAACTGTTCTGGGGCAGACTGTCTCATTCATTTAAATGGGGGATTAGTTCTCAATGTGCCTAGAAAGCTTTTGTCCTTTCTTTTGAAGTCAACAGAACAGTTCTTTCAGGCAGAACCCTTTGGAGTACATCAGCATCCTATAGCTGCCACAACTCAGTTCTGAGCAGAGACGTATAAGATTATGTATGTATGTATGACCAGTGAGTACAAGAGTTGACACTCACTGGTCATACATACATACATAAGCAGCCTTGACATAACAGGACTCGGTACTCATTGGTTGGATCTGTACATTTGGTATTTCTTTAAAATCTCAAGACTTTTCAGCCAGTGCTTCTCATACTATCTGATATGGGGACAGGCAGCTATTATCTCCCAAAGCATCAGGACCACTATGCCTAGCACTATTTTAGACCATGGGTGCAGCTACACTGTAGAATTAATGCAGTTTGGCACTACTTTAACTGTTATGGCTCAGTGTTATGGAATTGTGGGAATTGTGGGTGCAGATGCCCCATGTTTTACATGATTCCATAGCATTGAGCCATGGCAGTTAAAGTAGTGCCAAACTGCTCTAATTCTGCAGTGTAGATGCATCCTGTCTCCAATACTACTTATAAATTAAATGGTAGTGAAAAAAACTTTATTTTCCTGTGATAACACATGTGCATAAATTTCATCTCATAATTTTCACTGCTGTCATTGTTTTGCAATGCATTGGGAGGTTTCAAACACCACCTGAAAACTTGATATGCTTTTAATCCTAACAGGTCCACGTGACAGCAGCAAGATGGGGATCCTCTACATCCTGGTCCCCAGCATAGCCATCCCCCTGGTTATTGCATGCCTTTTCTTCTTAGTCTGCATGTGCAGAAACAAGCAGAAGGCTTCTGCTACTACTCCACAGCGTCGCCAGCTGATGGCATCTCCTAGCCAGGACATGGAAATGCCTCTCATTAATCAGCACAAACAGGTACCTGTTTTCAGAAGACACCATCTTGATCATACCCATCCAGTGGTTTCAGAGTTGTCAGGCATAAGACGATAAAATTTACATCCTCCAGCTACATGCTTACTTTTACTGTATTCCTGACTGTTTGGTGTCAGTCAGGTGCAAAAAAGACACAAGACATAAAAGACATTGAAAACCTGTAAAATAAGCACAAAGAATTTAGGCTGATTTAATTGGCTTTAGTACACACGTGTGTGCATGATTAAGCTACATTCAGAGACCATGGCATGTGGTCATTGGAGTACTGTGTTGTCCTAAATAAATTTTGAATCATTATGTAAAAGAATGATATCAGAATATGACAAAACATAGATGGCTTGCGTTCAAGTTATACGAAGGACTGCATTTTCGCATTTGAGCCTGTTCTGGGTTTTTAGGATCTTCAAGGGAGACCCTTCTCTCTTTTCCACCACCCTCACAGGTATATCAGATGGGGACACAGGAAAAGGGTCTCTTTGGTGGCTGGTTTCAGTCTCTGGCATCCTTGGCTTCTTCCTTATTTCCCTTGTCTCAATTCATGAAGCTACTTTAATTTTGACAGGCCATTAAAAACCGACTGCATATGGAGAAAGAGCTTCTAATACTATGCAAATATTTTTGCTTGTTGTTCTTAATGGATAGCTTTTTAAATTGTTTTAATTCTTTTGATAATTTAAGTTTTACATGCTTTTAGTGATAGGAATTTCTTACCTGTTATTTTTATTAGCTGTTTTAAGACCCAATGCTGGGAGGATGAAAGACTGGATAGAAATAAATAAAATAAATGTTGTTGAGGTGAAAAGTTTAGAATCCTGGGATTACAAGGGATCTCAAGGGTCATATAGACAAGCCTCCTACAAGACAGGAGACCTGCTCTAAAGCAGATAAGTGGCCTTCGTATTTATTCATTAAAATGTTTGACAGTTTCTGTTTATTGCCACATTTTTATTTGTTATGTAGCAGGATACTTCTGAGAATCAGTTAACATGAGTTGGAAGTATGTTTTGATTCAAAGCTTTCTACCTGCAGGAATCCTTTTAAGAATTTCCCTTTGAACTGACGAGTTTAAAAATGTTTTTAAAAATTAAGGAATTTCACTTGAAGTAGATTCAGATATCACACAGAATGTAAGACATGGGATTTTTCTCCTTTTTTTATTTTCAGGCAAAACTGAAAGAAATCAGCCTGTCTACTGTGAGGTTTATGGAGGAGCTCGGTGAAGAGAAGTTTGGGAAAGTTTACAAAGGTCACCTGTTTGGGACAACTCCAGGGGAGCAAACACAAACAGTTGCCATCAAGACACTCAAGGATAAAGCAGACCTAGCCCTCCGTGAAGAATTTAAACATGAAGCCATGATGAGATCAAGACTGCAGCACCCAAATGTAGTTTGCTTACTGGGGATAGTGACCAAAGAACAGCCTGTCAGCATGATTTTTAGCTATTGCTCCCATAGCGATCTTCATGAGTTCCTGGTGATGAGATCTCCTCACTCGGATGTTGGCAGCACTGATGATGACAAGACCGTGAAGTCAACATTGGAGCCGGCTGATTTTTTTCATATTGTGACACAGATAGCCGCAGGAATGGAATATCTTTCAAGCCACCATGTTGTCCACAAAGATTTGGCCACTAGAAATGTCCTTGTTTTTGACAAGCTTAATGTGAAGATATCTGAATTAGGTCTTTTCAGGGAAGTTTACTCTGCTGACTACTATAAACTAATGGGAAACAATCTTCTTCCCATTCGATGGATGTCTCCTGAGGCAATCATGTATGGCAAGTTTTCCATCGATTCTGACATCTGGTCCTACGGAGTGGTTTTGTGGGAGATCTTCAGCTATGGCTTGCAGCCTTACTGTGGCTATTCCAACCAAGATGTCATTGAAATGATAAGAAACAGACAAGTTTTGCCATGTCCTGATGACTGCCCTGCATGGATGTACTCACTGATGTTAGAGTGCTGGAATGAGTTTCCCAACAGGAGGCCAAGATTTAAAGACATCCACAATAGACTGAGAACATGGGGGAACCTTTCTAATTATAACAGTTCTGCACAAACATCTGGTGCAAGCAACACCACCCAAACCAGTTCTCTGAGCACAAGTCCTGTTAGCAATGTCAGCAACACTCGGTATGTTGGGCCAAAGCAGAAGACACAAACTTTCCCTCAGCCACAGTTCATACAAATGAAAGGACAGATCAGACCTATGGTTCCACCTCCTCAGCTCTACATTCCTGTCAATGGTTACCAACCAATGCCAGCATATGGAGCCTATTTGCCAAATTTCTATCCTGTCCAGATCCCAATGCAGATGGCTCCTCAGCAGATGGCTCCTCAGATGATTCCAAAACCAGGGTCCCATCATAGTGGGAGTGGTTCCACAAGTACAGGATATGTAACGACAGCCCCCTCCAATGCTTCTGTGGCTGACAGGGCTGCTCTCCTCCCTGAAGGGACAGAAGATGCACATAATATGGCAGAAGACATTGGTCAGAATCTGGTCCAGGAGGAGGAAGAAGAAGAAGGCTCAGTACCTGAGACAGAATTATTGGGTGACAATGACACTCTTCAGATGGATGAGGCAGAATTTCAGTCAGAAGCTTAATGATGGTACCATATCTCCTCAGTATACTGGAAACTCTAGTGTCACCAATACTTTTCTTTGGACTCCTATACACAAGTACAAAATCAAAACCAGATACAAAGCAGCAATAATGGCATGCCATGTATATGGGCTCTCCTTTCCAGCAGATACTTTCAAACATGACGATCAGGAATTGCTGTTTCTAAATGTAGGGTTGATTACAGTTCTTGCAGGGAAGCTGCTTTTATAATATACTGTTGCTGTGCAACATATAGTGGAATTTCATTGCACATCATGTATATCTTGAACTCTGATTGTAAGATTTTTTTTATGAATCTGGGTTAAAACAATAACCAAAAGGAGAGCTAAACTAAGGTTGCATGCAGCATTGTTCTGCCTGTGATAAGGTGCCCAAAGTATAATGGGCATCTTGTTTGTTTCACTGTTAAAATAATATTTGTAAAGGGGTTCTTTAGCTATAGGTAACATATAGGTGGGACTGTTGTTCCAGATAAAGCTAGAATCCAGGTGAGAGAGCAGGACAACTTGTATATCTTCGTGGCCATGAATGATCACTGCAGATTTATTTCCTATTAATTTTTTATGAATAAAAGGGAGCACAACTTAAATTTTAGCAGGAAAAATATATGGTACTCAAAAGAAGTGACAAGGTTCGCTATGCTCTAACATTTAATAAACCAAATTCTTTTGCCTGCAGATTGCCAAATTCAGAAAAAATGGCTCAGAAATACATTAATACATTGTATTGATTGTAATGATTATTAACAATGATCAATACACTCATTTTTATTTTAGTTAAGATGGTGCTACAAAAATACACTCACGGCCTTCTTTGTTTATAAAACTATTTTTAGTGATTGTAGACCTATAAAGACCAAAGTAAGCAATATTGTACAGAGTGTGTGTTTATCTGTGTCTTCAGTGCTTTTTTATGAGAAGAATAATGTACAGACTTTGAAATGTAATTTATGTTTTGATACCTTTTATATGGGATTTTTTTTCATGGCAGCAATTGAATTTTGAAAAGAATGCCTATATAATTTAACCGTTTACATTATGATTTGTAATATTTTATTGGATTAGAATTTGTATGATTTTGTTATTTCGACAAAAGGGGTCCATACATTTCATAGCCTTTTCTGCAGTGCAAATATTCCCTGAGTTCTGTTATAGTGTTGCTACAGTGCCACTATATTCCTATCTACATATCCAACTCTTGGGACTATCTTGACAAAATAGCAAATAAACATGCAATTGATTTTAACAAGTTGTTAATGAAAAGTACACTGTAAAACTGATAATTTACAGATTTCGGGTTTTTTTATTCATGTAAACTGTTCCTTTGCTCTGTATCTTTGGATTCACTTGGATCCACCTTTTTGATCTGCAGTCCATGTTTGTAACAAGCTGTATTACTGGTTTCCAATTTCTCTCTTGAAATTGGCTATGCACTGGTAGGTAAACAATGGGAAGCTCTCTTGCTTGTTAATATAAATGCAAGTTGGAGACAATTAATAAATCATACAAATAAATTTGAAAGGTTTTTTTATACTTTTTATAGTGTGTGGTCCAGTTTTAATACTATATCACAGACTAATTTGAAATGTATTCTTATGTTCCTGTTATCTTACTTAAAGGAGTTGAAATGGCAGTCTAGAAAAGCAAAGAGAATGCTATTGTGGAAGGACAAACTAATGAAGTTTTAAAATAATGTGTTCTGTTATTGCCTTTTGCCTCATTGTATCCAAAGATTATGACCCAAGACAGAAACAAACAATAAGGAAAAGGGAGCGGGTAGAAGGCTGAGTAATATTAATCAATGTTTATTTCCCTAAGGGTTAAACTTCACAAAATTCATGATAGTCTCTTGCAGTTATTTTGAAGGTGATTAAAACAACTTCAGCAATCTAAATAATTCTGGTCTATGCAACTTCTTATTTGAATTAGCAGGTCAGCAATTGGTAAGTATTGTGTTCTATTCTCATAAGTAAATATAAATCATGTTCTAGATGTTGGCCAGTTTTTCAGGATATACCCAAGAACCCAAGAGAAGATTTACTAGAATCAGAACAGCAAAGAAGCATATAAAATATTAGGTCATTAACTTTACATCAGAAGGTCATTAATGAAGGTCGACCTAGTAAGTTATTATACTTGACATCTTCCTCTGTGTCACAGAAAATCTTTCAGAACTGCATTAGATTGTAAATGCAATCTTCTGATAGATTCATCTCAAGATAGACATCTAAGCATGAGGAAGACATTGACTGAAGTGATTCTTATAATTGAAAAGAACAAATGTCTCAGTTACCACATTCTATTTTGTTCATAAAATATCAAATTCTTTATGGAAATCATATTTTCGTGAATGTAGAGGTCTCTGATATTCAAACCTCAGCCAGTGTTGATGTCTGCTACAGCATGAATGTTTCATCAGACTCCTTCTCTAGAAAGTTGATACGATTCTGGCATTCCTTTCTTGTTTATGTTTGATGTCTGGTGGGCCATGTTTGACATCTGTGTCATGTTAGTCTAGTGATGACAGTGGTAACAACAGTGTGGTGATAGACCACCAAGTTCTACCCAAGAATTTAGGAATAAAGTGAAGTGTGATAGTATAGCATGGCATGTTCCAAATAGTGTAACTTTTGTAATTGTGCTGTAGGGCCATTTTTTTTGGAAGTTCCTGCTGAAATAAATTCTTGTCCCAGTCTTTTTCTGTCAAATATTTCCTTTCCTATTGTTTAATGTGTGTCCCCTGATATCAACACTCCATATTTATTTCCCCATTGGAACCTGTAGCCTTTCTTCCTGAGCTTATCTGTCTGGAAAAAGTAGTCTCTTATTTTCTTTAATACGTGCAGTGGGAATTCTCTTAGCACAGCAATCCTGGTGCTTCCTATCATGATGGGATCTTTGGCACATGTTTGCAACTCTTGGTTTCTTACTTCCTTTCTTGTAAAACACACAATGATATCTCTTGGGAGTTTAATCCTTATTGTGTATTGAGAGTGGACTTTGAAGACCCTGTCCCACTCCTTCCCAGCTATTTCCTCTGTTCTATCAGGGATTCTAGCCAAAATTTCCATTATTATCATAATATCCAGTACCTGTACAGATTCAGGGATTCTGCTTAATCTCAAGGAATATTCTCTTGTGAATATTGCAACCTCTGGAGTTGGGTTGAATCCCTTTGGAAGACAATTTGCACCTTCATTTGAGTTCAATTATTTTTATTTTCTCTTCAAAATACCACTCATTGTGTCTGTCATATGTTACATACCTTTTTTCATCTCCTGTTGACCCTTTCCTAGGTGTTTTTCTGCCTGAACCATTTTATCCTCCATTATTGAATCTTAATTGAGTCAGGATTTCATTCATTGCATCTTCATCCACATAAGATCCATGCCTATGAGCATCTTTTTGATCTTTCTGGTCTTTTCTTGGTCTTGTTGTCATTGTAGTCATTTCTGTTGATTACCACGTTTGCAAGTTGCCTTTTAAATTAACTTCCAATTTTCAAATATTTTTTTATTGTAGTTCCACCTCTGACCACTTTCATGTGCTCTTATTTATTTATTTATTTATTTATTTATTTATTTATTTATTTATTTATTTACAGCATTTCTACCCCACTCTTCTCACCCCCACAGGGGGACTGAGAGCAGCTAACAATGGCAATGACTGGATTCTGCAATAATTACAATTATAAAAGCAAAATAAAATCATACAATATAATACATTAAAACAACATTAGTTATCCAATCATAAATGTATTTCCATTATAACAACCATCTGGTCGAAATCACTGTTCAGGTGCCGTTATATCCATTAGCCAAAAGCCTGGTTCCACAACCACATCTTCAGTTTTCTTCTGAAACAAAGGAGGGAGGATGCCAATCTAATTTCGCTGGGGAGCGAATTCCACAGGTGCGGAGGGGGGGGTCACCACCGAGAAGGCCCTGTCCCTCGTCCCCACCAGCCGCGTTTGCGAAGCTGGTGGGACCAAGAGCAGGGCCTCTTGCCTAAAGTTCTAAACGATTGTTATTTTACTTTTCCTGTATTTCTAGCCCTACGGACCTCTCTGTCCCTCTATGGTTTCATCTGTATGGTTCAATTACTTCCTGTTTCCAGTCTGCTTTGTTTTCTGTTTCCACTGAATGATTGCTTTCTGTCTGGAGTAAGCCCACAATTTGTTTTGTCTTGTTTTGTTTTTTAAAAGTTTAATTATTAGCAAAATAAATCTTTTTTTCTTTATGTAGATAATCACCAGATAGTTTTACTAGGCAGACATATATAATTCTTAGAATATAATTAAATTGGTTAAATTTTAAGAGTCTTTTTAATGTCTTTGTAGCTTTCAAAAAAAAGCTACAAAGAAAAAAGTAAATTTACCTTTAGAGATGTTTTGCCGACAAAGTTGGTGGACTTACAGCAGATTTAAGGGCATCGTTTAATCATGTTGTTGTCCTTTTAAGAGTACAGAGTTTTAAAGAAGTGTAATCTGATTAATTTCTGCCTCCTTGGAAGCAATTGTTGGGGTGTGTGATGTCATCCCCTCCTCTCACCTTCTCCTCTAGTTCCACTGAGCTAAAAGGGGGAGGTAGGATCTGTCAAGTATTGAGGGTTTGTTTCTGTTTTTTTTTCTTTCTGAAGAGGAATTTCTAACTCTTCAATAGTCATTACTATCCCAGCAATGTCCTGTGTTCCAGGCAGCTTGCTAGAATGCAGCTTGCCACTCCATGTCTCCACCAGAAGTCCCACTCACTCTTTCTTTATATATGTGCCTCATGTCAAAGTGCCCTATATTACTAATTTCACTGCAGTTCTTCATTGAGCCCAAGATAATTCAGCTGCCATGAGTTCAGTAAATTGGCTTATGGCAGCAGCACTTGAAAGCTATTTTAAGAAATGCCTGCTCCATCAGTATTCATGCCTGAAGTTTATCTTGATTGTCTGCCCGGTATATTGCATTGGTAAATTTTATTATCAAACATTCTTAAAATTTCTTATATGAAATTCAACAAATCTCTTTAGTCATTCCATCCCTGTAATAACTTGGATTGCTGCAATGTCCTCTTATTTGTTTTGCAGTAGTGTACAAAAATGTTTTTGAATGGGTCCCTGCTTCTGCCATTCCCCAACTCCACCCTGGCCTATCTTCCACAAATACCTCAACACAAAACATGCCAGAAGTATAGCGGTAGCAAAAGCACACTTAGTCAAACTTACCTAAAACTTACCTGTAATAACACTGGGGAAATGTAAGACTCCATAGAAATTTCCCCTTTTCCTGCCCCAATTCCTGTGTCTATAGAACACTGGTCATCATGGAGCTTGTGGAGAGGTTAATAGCAAGACCAAGGCTACCCACTATTTCTGTGATCCTTGTGAGTTTAGTTAACTAAAAAGTTTGCTCATTTCATTTTGAAGTATTTTGAATAACTATTGCTTTGTGGTTTGCAGTTCTCAGAACTTTTATTTGGTTTTTGTGTGTGTGTTGAACAGGGACCTGGAATGTGTTTACTCTTCTCCCTACTCTAAGGTCAATGACTTCACTCACTTGGTGCCCATGCTAAAGTAAAGATTTGAAAGCTTATATCTTTCTAAGGCAATCCAAGTCTTCTTTTCTTTTGAGCAAGACATAACATATTTTAAAACTATGAATGGCATCAGTGCTACTTCTGAGAAAGATACATAGTATGCCTTATAGCATGGTCTATATTGCAGAGTTGAACATGCAAGATCGTTCATTTGTCACAGGAACTAAAGGGGCCACTTTCTCCTTCTAAATACCACATTTGATGGTGTGGAGATTCCCATTACACTCATGTTGAACTACTTGTCCATGAACAAGTAATTAGGTTTAGGCACAAAACTTAGAAATGTGACATCTGCACATCAATTATTCATCTGTAGGTTGTATTGAAAGAGACTATACTTCTACAATTGGTCAATGTAGAAGTTTTCAACTTTGTATAGCTCACTCATTTTCAAGCACAACTTCAGCCTACTATTTTATTTGCTGGTGGTGGTATAACTTGCTTCATAATACCATGTCTAATTTAAAAAATCTTTCTTACTAAGCATTCATTTGGATTATCCTGGATCACACTCAATCCATGGAAGCTCAATTATTCCTAATTTAAGGGGTTAGAAACACTTCATTAGACAGTCAGTGTGACAATTAAGGGTTGAGTGTTGGACTAGGATTTGGGAAAGCAGTATTTGAATCTCCACTCAGTCACGGAAACCTACTGGGTGACTGGGCAAGGCACACTCTCAGCTTTAGAGGTAGGCAATAGCAAGTCTCCTCTGAATAAATCTGGCCAAGAAAACTCTAGGAGACTGTTGCCATACTTTGGAATAAACTTGCAGGTACATGCCAACAATGTTCAGTTTCTATATTCCATAAAGATATGGCCCAGAATATTACAGATTCTCCATGTACTTTCTAAGGTCCATGAGGATACGTTTCCCTGATTTACAGATGTCCAGGTTGTTTCGAACTGGGCAGGGTCTTTTTTTGAAATTGGAAG